AGATATGGTTGGCAGATCACAGTGCACGCCTATCTCCAAGGAACCCAAGCACTAGGTCACAACGCCATGACCTGCACACCTCAGCCCTGTCCTGGGAGGGGACCCCATCCAGCCCTCCTCTGAGCTCAGGCCCACAATGGGCATATTCCTCATTGGTCTTGGCACTGCCTACCCCCAGGACCAGGGCACCCTCATGGTCCATGAGCTTCTGGAAAGAAGCATCTCTTATCTAGTCCATTATTTTCTAATCCACGCAGCTGAAAAATAGTAGGGGCTATGAATCAGGAAATTGGTTTCACCCATGATTCCAGGGTGGAATTTATTTAGTCTTTGCAAGATGAACAAAAGTTTACTTTCTGGACCTAAAATGGCCTGGGGTGAGGACACAGAGCCTGGCCTTCTCTCTGCTTCATAGTTTCTTCTGGAAGGTGCCAAGGAGACTTCACTTGACTCCACAAGCCCAGCAAACTTTTTCTCCCTTCTTGTTCAGCCTCTCTCGAGCCCCAGACAGGCGCCAGCTTCTCCTTGGACCGGCCACTTGACACTAGGTGTGCAGACACGCGGCATGTGGCTGCTGGCCAAGGCCGTGCCCTCCCCCCACCTGACTGTGCCCACAGCTCCTGAGAGCCTCCAGTTGGGGGCATGGCCGCCTTGGGTGGGCAGAGCCCGTTGCGGAAGAGGGAGACCCACTGCACACATCTCCATGGCAACCAAACACACCCACCGCTGGAGGAGCCCGTTGAGAAAGAACTTCAGCAAACCACATAAACGCCCACGCATCGTGCCCTGAATGCTTGCTTCTGAGAACCAACTCCAAGCAAACAGCTCAGCAGAGGGAGAAAAACAGACAGGCACAAAGACGTCTGCTGGAGCCATGTGTAATGTGTGTATGTGTGGCTGACTCATTCTGCTACGCAGCAGGAACTAGCACAATACGGTAAAGCAACAATACTCCATCAAAAATTAAAACAAGAAACCCCGGACGAGCTGTGTGCCATCAAACCGTCCAATGGCTCAGCTGACAACCATGTAACTGTTAAAAGTATTAAAAATGAAACTATTTATTTTAAAACTGGTAAAATGACCACTAATGTAACCAAATGTAACCATGTAACTGACAAAATCATCCCTGTTACTACAAAGATGACAAGAGACGTGGGTGAATGTATGACACAACATTAAATCAAAAAGGATACAACATCGGTGTACAAGAAGACAACTCTAAGAAATGTGTATAAATGTGGACAAAATCTATAAGGGAAAATATTAGTGAAAATACCTGTTCTAGAATGATAACAAGACAGGTTTCTGTCTTTAAAACTCTTTGTGGCTGTCATGTGGTTCCCACAACTAAAAATGAAGTGGACATTGTTGTCTATTGGCAGATGGGAACTTCCACCATCCAGAGGCAGGGGTCTGCCTGGGCGTGTAGACAGCTTGCGACAGGAAGGGGGCAACGGACCACACGACCACTCAGCTTGTGCAGACTGGCTGCTGAGCACCCCATAACGTACACGGCAGCCAGCGGCCCCTCTGTCTAGTGTCCTGCTAGAGGGATAAAGGCACCTCCGCCAGGCCCTTTTTGTTGCTCACAAAGGGGATAAATTGTCTAAACTAGAAGTAGCTAGTTTTATCTTTAATGGTCAAATCCATCAGGCCTTGGCCTTGCCTTGTAAGTGCGTGAGAGCTCAACAAGATGCCAGGGTTATGTTTTGATAAAGTATCAATAAGATCCAAGAAGCGAGTGTGTGAGAGTGCAGGTGTGTGTGCACATGTGTGTGTACCTACAGAAACACATCACAATGGTGTTTCAAGCCAGATTATTTTCATAAATGAAATGAGGAAACAGAAAAACACATACACCAATATGGGGAAAAAAACACACTCATCACATACACTTTAACCAACCAAACACGTTCAAGGCTAACCTAACCTAGATTTAGAAGCTGTGGATTCAGCTCAAACACTCGGTTTTCAGCCTCGAGAGAGGCCCTTCCCCTCTCTGACCACATTTTCTCTTCCACCAAAAGAGTCGGGGACGGAGCAGATGAGCCTGGCCCCGGCTGTGCCGTGCCCACACACCAAGGCTCATGGAAACACACTCGAAGACGTGCAGGGCCAGGATGCGGGGCCCCCTGGCACCGCCTTCTGCTGAAAGCATTCACAGGCAGCAGTGAGTTAACTGAACAAAGGCAGATCACTGCTGGCGTCCACGAGAAGCTGCTCAGACACGTGCCTGGGTCTCCAACCGCCCCTGCAAGTGGGAAGGAAGCCACGTGTTTACCCACAACAGGAGTGCCATCACACTCTGCCCTAAGGCCTGGTTTGCTGGCACTGGAACTGCAGAGAGAGTGTTCATGGTTTATGTGAGAAGGCAGGGTGTGCCTAGCTCAGGAGAAAAGGTTCCTTCCTGCTCAGGGAACAAGGAAGGCTTCCTGGGGGAGGAGGCACTGGAGCGGGTGGTAAAGGCAGGACTGAATTTAAATGCATGCAGTGAGTGGGGAGAGGGGTTTCCAGGGAGCCAATATGGAAGAGAGAAATTCAGTCAGACTGTAATAAGAAAGAAGGAAGCAATAAAACACAGACCAGACCACAAAGGCCTTAAATGCTAGAGCAAGCACAATCCCAAAGCAGCTGTCGTGTTAAGTGTGTGTATCTGCCGTAATTTCAAAATAAACTCAACCGATTTAGGAACTGCCAGCTAGCCAAGCAGCCACTGGTGGAACCAATGGATTCCACAATAGCCCTTTGCCCCCACGGACTTGCTAGTTCAAATGGTAATTGCTTGAGGTATAAAATCAGCCTCTGTTCAATATTTATTTTCTCTTTTCCTGGAAGATAGAGCAAATATCAAGAAACAGTTGCAGGAGCTAAGAGTCTGAGATAATTTTTTAAAAGAAGGCATGATCAAATAAGACAAATGAGACAACACAGGTCAAATATTTTATTTAATTCATCAATTAATCAGAGACCAATAAGATGTGATTGGCTTCCCAGGTGGCTCAGTGGTAAAGAATTTGCCTGCCAATGCAGGAGATGTAAGAGATGTGGGTTCAATCCCTGGGTTGGGAAGATCCCCTGGAGAAGGAAATGGCAACCCACTCTAGCATTCTCGCCTGGAAAATTCCATGGACAGAGGAGCCTGGTGGGCTATATGGGCTATAGTCCATGGGGTCGCGAAGAGTCGGACATGACTCAGTGAGCACACACACACACAATAAGATGTTATACCTGGGAGACAGCGAAGAACCATCTAGATGCAGGCCATCAGAAATGCTGGAGTAAATTTCTTAATAGATGCCCAAACTGGTCAGTCTCCACCAAACACAGTTTGCAGTGCTGTGGACAAGAACCACAGGCTTTGCCATCAAGATTCTACAACTTACGGCTCAAAGGCAAGGAAAGGCCCAGAGACCCAGGGAATCTGATAACCAAGAAAGTCCTACATTCCCATGCGGATGCTAGGAGACTGTGTAATCCATCTCAAGTGAAGTGAAGTGAAAGTCGCTCAGTCGTGTCTGACTCTTTGTGACCCCATGGACTATACAGTCCATGGAATTCTCCAGGCAAGAATACTGGAGTAGATAGCCTTTCTCTTCTCCAGGGCATCTTCCTGACCCAGGGATCCCACCCAGGTCTCCTGCATTGCAGCCAGACTCTTTACCAGCTGAGCCGCCAGGGAAGCCCAATCCATCTCAAAGTCTTTCACAGTTTTCCCTACAAAGGTGAATACTGATCAAAGTGGAAACTCTTAGCATGTGTTTTATGGAAAACCTAGGTGAGGATGAAGTCTGAGGTTGGGAACCAGGCATATGCCTGTGTCATCAAGACATGGCAGGCCCATGCTGACCCAGGGAACATCAGACTGGGAGCCCCGGGGCTCTCAAGGGCTGTGCCACAAACGGGTGACCTTTATCACCCTCCCATTTCTGGAGGCTTCTAAAATGAGGAGCCTGGCATGAATCCCAGGTGCTCAGTCTGGCCATGCCTGGGAGTCACCTGAGGAGCTTATAAATCTCTCATGCCCCACTCTGGAAACCCCAGACCTAGAGCTTCCGATCATGCTGGTCAGGGTGAGGCCACAGCATCACTGGCTTTTAAAATCTCTCCACCTCCCCAACACCACCCCAGCAAGTCTAATGAAAAGTCAGGACTAAGGACCACTAGGCCAGACGATAAGACCCCTTTGTCCTAGACACTCTTTGGGCTTTCTTGTAATGCTTTCTTTTAAATAACAGCTGTCAGCCTCAGTGCAAAACTGGAGAATGTTAGTGGGACATTTTTCAAAAACGCTCCTCAAAATTAATCTTTGGTGGATACCATGAAACAAGCACAATTCATGACTTGGTCAGACCTGACAAACAGCCCAAATGTGTTAGAATCTTCCGCCATGTTTGCCATTCATTCAACAAGCAGTCTGCTGAGCTGAGCACAGGCCTGGTCTCCTGATTAGATGTTTTAGGCATAACGTCCGCAAAGCAGTACAAAGATACCCACAGGTGTTGCTAAGAGGCACCCACACGTGTATGGCATGCATTCACACAGGCATTCACACACACGCTCACACTGTTCACTCAAAAAGCAGCCTCCAAATGCAATACCGGGGCCAAAGACCTAGGAAGGGACCCCGCTTCACACTGGGGTAACTGATGAGTCACCTTTTGGTTGGCTGGTCCCCACAGTGGGGGAGAGAAATGACAAGAGGGCAGAGGATGGTGAATCCCAGCGCTCTCCTCCCGACTCTTCTGAGACCTCTGATGTTATTAGGGATCATTTAACTACATCAGAGTGGGCGCCAGGCAGTGCCTCATACTCTGATGGGCCTTGAGCTAATAGTACAAACCCCCTCTTCTAGAGGACACTGTCCTGCCTTCCCGTAGGACCACGCAGGGACATGGGCCAAGTGTCTCCCGAAGGATGCTCTTGCATCTCCTCCCTTCCTCGGTCCTCCTGTTCCTCACCCTGGGCTCCCCTCCCCCCCAACCCCCACACACACTTACTGCAGGCTGCACAGGTGAAGCACGCGTCGTGGTAGAGGTTCCCCATGGCCTGGCAGGCCTGGCCGGCCCCAAACACCCCCTTGCTACATTTCACACAGGCTCCTGCAAGGGAAAGAACACAGCAGTGAGTGGGAAGAGAAACACTGTAATGTGAGTCATAAAAAGTCAATGGACAACAGCAAGATACCCAGCCCTCCCCATAACCAGCCCATCCCCGAATCCCGAGGATCACTCCTCTAGAATGTCTCTCTCTCTCACTCTTTCCCTCCATCCGTCTCTCAATGTCAGTCCTTTCTGCTGCAGGAAACAGCCCCGGGCTCATGTTCAGGCTCCCTCCACACCAGCATGTTAATGCTCAGAAAACCTCCGCTTCTTACATCTTATTCCTTGCCCAGAGCTTTCTGGGGACTTCCCTGGTGGTCCAGTGGCTAAGATTCCTCACTCCCAATGCAGGGGAACCCGGGTTCAGTCGCTGGTCAGGGAACTAGATCCCACCTGCAGCAACTAAGACCTGGTGCAGTGAAATAAATGAGTAAATATTAAATTTTAAAAGGTTCCAACCATTATAAGACAACATCCAAACGCTGCACCACGATTAAAATAGGCCAAATATGCAGGCTAAGTGAAAGTTGCTCAGTCGTGTCCAACTTTTTGCGACCCCATGGACTGTAGCCTGCCAGGCTCCTCTGTCCATGGAATTCTCCAGGCCAGAATACTGGAGTGGGTAGCCTTTCCCTTCTCCAGGGGATCTTCCCAACCCAGGGATCAAACCCACGTCTCTTACATTGCAGGCAGATTCTTTACCAGCTGAGCCACAAGGGAAGCCCAAGAATACTGGAATGGGTAGCCTATCCTTTATCCAGCTGATCTTCCTGACCCAGGAATTGAACTGGGGTCTCCTGCATTGCAGGTGGATCCTTTACCAACTGAAATATGAGGCAAGCCCAATATGCAGGCTGGGCAACTTCAAAGTATTTTCTTTAAGTCTTAATGGGAACCACCAACAGGAACTCACTAACCTCACTTTTTACAAAGAGCGATCAGGCCCCCAAGCCCCAGGTCCATCAGACTGCATGGCCAGTGCGCCTTCCTGCCCCTACCCTGGCCACTGGGTCTCAGCTCCTGGCCTGCACTCTGGGCTCCCCTGCCTGCGCCCCATGCCCACCCTCTGCTCCCTTTATGTGGTCTCTTACGTGGGCCAAGCCACATAAAGCGGGGTGTTGGGGTCTCCCTCCCAAAGAACTCCCTCATTATAGGCAAATGAAAAAAAATACAACTATGTAAATAATGCATGAATTAAAAAAAAAAAAAAAGATTCGGGAAAGAAATACACCAAAACTGTAAAATTATGGCTGAGTTCACTGCTCTGCATCTTCTGTATTAGAAAAAAAAGTCTTACATTGCTTTATGGCCGAAAAATGTGTAGTCTCAAAAAGTATTTTGTATCTGGTTTTTGTTTGTGGCCATGCTGAGCGGCTTGTGGGATCTTAAGTTTCTTGACCAGGGATTGAACCCAGGCCATGGCACTAAAAGTACTAAGTCCGAACCACTGGACTGCCAGGGAATGCCCCTGGATCTGTTTAAATGCATTGTATAGTGTTAAAATTTTTGAGAAACGGATTATATACTTATATACAATTTATATATAAAATACAAATAAACTATGTAATTTTTCCAAAATTTAAATACATATAAAAAGGTCCCCTAGGCCCCCCTCGTGGCTCAGTGGTAAAGAATCGCCTGCCAATACAGGAGACACGGGTTCGATCTGTGGTCCAAGGAGACCCCACCTGCCAGGGGGGGGCACCTAAATCAGTCACAACGACTGAGCCGGGGAGCCACAGCTCACAAAGCCTGTGTGCCCGAGAGCCTGTGCTCCTCAACAAGAGGCCCTACCGCAGTCAGAAGCCCACAGACCGCAGCGAGAGAAAGACTGCTCAGCGACGCAGACCTAGCATGGCCAAAAAACCAAACACAAAAGCTCCCCCAGCACTCAGCAGGATGACCAGGGGCTCAGCCGGCCTTTCTGGTTCTGTCCGATCTTTTAGGCTGTTCTCAGATTGCAAATTCACAGCCACATTCTGCTTACAGGGCCAAAAGTCCTGTGTTTCAAAGTTCTTATCATTCCAAGCTGATAAACTACATCGCCTTCAAAGGAAGTCCAAGCTGACACAGCCTACATGAAATGAAATGCACCTGCTCCAACCCCACCAGGCCCACAGAGAACGCATAAGCCCAGGACCCGCATGCCGCTTCACCAACATTCCCTTAGGAAGCAGCTGCGGCCGTCCGTAAGAACGGTCCTGTGTCAGCTGAGAAAACCGGCTCCTGAGAATTCGCTGCGCACAGCTCTGGGGATCACAAGCGGTGGTTATTTGTAGTTCTGTTTCAACGCTGTATTATGAAAACGTTCAAGCATGAAAAGAAAAATGGAAAAGAATCCCATGTGCCCACAACCCCAGTTCTACAATTAATTGTTAGTACTTTGCTGCCTGTCCCTCAATCAACCCAACCAACTGATTCGTGATGCATTTCGCAGTAAGATGAAGAGAGCAGTCTGCTTCATCCCAAACACTTCAGTCTGAAAATCATTAATAAGATATAATAAGAGGTCATTATTTGCTTACAGTTATCTTTTTCAAGATAAAATTCAAACAGTGAAATGCACAATCTGTAAGTCTATCACCTGATGAGTTTTGACAAGTAACCTATGTAATGTAAACCCCAAGTAAGATACAGAACATTTCCAACACCCCAGCAAGTTCCCCAAGGCGCTTCCCTTCCATCTTCTCTTACTGGTTATGAAATTGCCTGTATATGTGTGTGTGTGTGCATGCACACACATGTAGGATGAAACTATTGGGTAGCTGGTATTTCTTTACCTAGCCAACAGCATGATACAATTGAAAACTCCAAGGAATTCAGAAGCATCAGCATGTCTTTTTGTCTGATTATTTCATATACAACATAGGCTGTTCTTAAGTCAAGAAAGACATCTATTCTGGAACTTCCTTGGTGGCCCAGGGGCTAAGACTCCACACTCCCAATGCAAGGGGCCCGGGTTCAATCCTCGGTCAGGGAACTAGATCCCACATGCTGTGACTAAAGAGCCGACACGCGCAACCAAGACCCAACACAGCCAAGTAAATAAAAGAAGTACATCCGTCCAGGGCAAACTGCATTCCTTTGTTGGCACATTCAGAGCTGCCTCCAACGGGCAAGGAAGAGTGACGAGGGCAGGATTCTGCCAGCACCACTCCTCTCTGGGGCTCATCCCTCTGGAAACCAGCAGTGCTGGCGGCTGCCGCTGGGAGCCAGAGGACCGGCCACTGAAGCAGGTGGGCCAGGAGCGTGTGCGGTCGTGGAAGCAATGGGGCAGGTGTGCCCGGCACTGGATACACCTGCTGTGCTGTGGCAGGTTCCTGGTTACCTGGGCACTGGCCCATCTATCCTAGTGAACTGGGAGCGCCTTCAAGATGGGGTCTACATCGACTGTGAGCTGGTGCAGCCACTATGGAAAACAGTCTGGTGGTTCTTTAAAAAAACTAAAAATAGAATTACCATATGATCCAACAAGCCCACTCCTGGGCATGAAAAGGCAAAAACTCTAATTTGAAAAGATACATACACTCCAATGTTCAATTTACAGTAGCCAGGACACAGAAGCAATCCAAGTGCCCATCAACAGATGAATGGGTAAAGAAGAAGTGGGGTGTGTGTGTGTATACATACACATAATGGAATATTACTCAGCCATAAAAAGGGATGAAATAATGCGACTGGCAGCAACATGGATGGACCTAGAGATGACCAAATCAAGTGAAGTAAGTCAAAGACAAATTTTATATGCGATCACTTATATGTGGAATCGACAGAGTAATACAAATGAACTTGTTTACAAAAAAGAAATAGATTCACAGAGACAGAAGACAAACTTGTGATAACCAAAGGAGAAAGAGGGCAGAGGGATAAATTCGGAGGATGAGATTAACAGGTACACACTACTGTATATAAAACAGGCAACAAGGATTTACTGCACAGCACAGGGAGGCACATTCAGTATCTTGTAATAACCTACAGTGGAAAATAATCTGAAGAACAACATATACAGTCATTCAGTTGCTAAAGAATCCGCCTGCAATGCAGGACACCTGGGTTCAATCCCTGGGTTGGGAAGATCCCCTGGAGATCTTACTTACCCACTCCAGTGCTCTGGCCTGGAGAATTCCATGGACTGTGTATAGTCCCTGGGGTGGCAAAGAGTCGGACACGACTGAGTGACTTTCACTATATGATACATACATATAAAATCCAAATTGCTTTGCTGCACATCTGAAACTAACACAATGTTATAAATGAATGATAATTCAGTAAAAAAATACATAAAAATGTTTAAAAAGTAAAATAAAACAAAATCTCCAAAAAAAAAAAAAGATGGGGTCATGTCTCAGCTGTGGCCCCATAAGTGTTCATTGAAGAATCGCTGAGTTGAATCAGTTTCTGGGCCACCTCCCCACTGCCCTGGCCCTCACCCGTTGTTCCTGGGATACACACGTCCCCTTGAGTGCCTTTTACAGAGATTCAGAGTCTTACCATCTCTGAACACCTGCAGCCCCTGACAAGGTGCACTCGTGTGCCCTCAACAAACATACATAGAAATAGAAATGGATGGCATGGACTTCTGCTGACCACTTCCAGGGCCACTGTATAGCACAAACACAGTGACGGAGGGGGCGAACTTTCTCTTGAATGGCAATTACTGGACCATGGTGAGGTATCAATAATACTGTTTGGTGATTCTGGTGTAGGTTTTCAGATCATCCGTCCCAAGCGCCCTGGTACTAGACTCTGAATCCTTACAAAGAGCAGCATAGGCTGGTCTGTCTGGCAGCGACCAAAGCTGGCTCAAAGCAGCCGGAAGGAACATCAGAGCAACACGAGCGAGGTTCTGTTCACGGACACAGAACCTCCCCACGCCCCACATCGCTCCTTCCCTCTTCATCACCGCGGCCTCTGTGCCTAAGCCCCACAGAGGCGCCGGCTGCAGAGCGCAGAGGAGCGCTGAGACTCAACAGCATGGTCAGACTTCCACCAGCCACATG